CCTAGCCATGTTATTGGTTAATCTGTCCACATTCTGTCCAGCTCCTGAAGTCCTAACCAATGGGAAAGCTCACTTGATTGTATCCAGAGGGGAAAAAAAAAACCTGAACGGACAATTTTTTTGTTACCAATCAAAATGTAAGAAAAAAGAAAGAGTAGTACTATAATTCTCTCAGAGTTTAAATGCAGTATGCATTATGATTATATTAAATAAAATGATTTAACTAAAAATTACTGACATGATGGCCTTGAAGTCAAGAGTTTCCCTATACAGTCCACAGTGTGACACACTATGCATATACTAAAGGTAAAGTGCTTTAACTGTAGCACTTGAAATGAACTGGCAGTCTTACCTATTTTAACTTAATTTAATTGGTTTTATGATCTCGAGTCTATATCTGTGGTTTTATTATCTGTGACAATTGATCACAATTATTTGAGCTGATAGCAATTTTTTTTCCATAAATGTTAGCTTTTTCAGATGTTTCCATCACAACAAACAATGTTTACTCGTAAATAAAATAATACACTTCTTAAAGTAGACTTTCATGCTCAAACTACTGAAACACTCCACTACCCCACATGAACAACTACACAGCTAGCAACACATACTGTGTGAGTGCTGTTTCAGGCTAATTATTTACAGGTCAGTTACTGATATTGGGACAATATTTTCTTCTGATATCAGCCAGATATCGAGACCTGGCGTCTCTTAACCAATAGTGGGCCTGAGATTTTATTAAACACTTCCATAACCTAAGAATAGCTCAACCAAGTAAGAGCAGTTACTGAATAATAAGCCTTAGTAAGTAATAAGACTTGAATTTTAAAGGGTATTTGGGTTGGAGCTACTAAGCATTGACAAGCAAAAAAGCTCAACAATTTGACTACTTTAGGCTTAATCATATACAGTTAACTAAAAATGACAAAATGTCAAATACATTCACTTATTTAGCTAAAATATCATAATCATGACAGGCCTAATCAGGACTTCTCCAAATCTCGTTATCATTATTATTATTATTATTATTATTATTATTATTATTATCATCTACTACCTTTATATTTAGAAGGTTTCCCCTAAAACTGAATGAACCTGTCTGCACTCTAAAATTGACTGGAGGCCTTTGTTGGAGGTCACTTTCACACCAAGCAACAATGACGCACTCCTGAATAATACTGATAAATAGAGTACCAAACAACAGCAATGCACACTGACAAAAGCTTCGGTAAGTTTTCGCAAAGATTTGCTTTCTCAGAGCTGCCCCTGTTCCCAGGGCTAGTGTTATTTATCCTGAGTAAAGTTCCTCCACACTCGAGCAGTGACCGATGTTACTGTGAGGTGTTCCATCCTCTCCTCCTACACTGCTGTTTGTTCTACACAGGCTCTCTATGTGATGGCTGTCCGTGAAACTAATCAGGCTCCTTTGGAACACAGCCCGATGTCCCAGCAGGCTGGCCCACTGCACACACAACACCCCCCGCCCCCCAATTACAATCCAATCATTCCGGCCTACCAAGTGCACACCAGAGGGAAAGCTCCTGAAAGGAAGTAAGCACTGGGAACAAGGTGTATTTACTGGTTTGTATATACTTACTAGTTCTAGCATTTCTACAAATAGTTGACAACATTGACAGGAAATGAGCGAGATCAGATGAATAGAGGCAGATGTGGTCAACTTGTTTCAGGACAGTATTTCCAAATCCCAGTCCCAGAGCACCACTGCCCTGCATTGCTTTAGCACACACTCAATTCAGGGCTTGACAATTACGCTGCATTTTCATTTTTTGTTTCCCTTCCCGTTCATTTTTCTATGGAGACAGGTGGCAGACCTGTGCAGAGAATTGCGAGAGCAGCTGTGGAGGAAAGCAGATATTAAGGCCAAGAATAAATTCAGAATTTCTTTATGCAAGCAAGAAGGAGCTTTCACCAGCAACCAGGCAGATGTGCTGAAATGTGGCACAGTAAGGGCCTAGTTACGTGCCATGGCCATGAGGGGTGGGAAGCACAGGCATCTCACGATACAATATTATCACGATACATTGCCCATGATACTGTGACTCTGTGATACTCGATATATTGCATGACAATCCTTTACGATACATCACAATATTTCTGTAACTGGAGAAAATAAAATACTCATGGATTGGCAAATAGCAGGAATTATGAATTTATTAGTGTCAGTTTGACAGAATTTGACAACCAATATGAAACAATGTACAACAAAGCGCACAGCTTAGCTTCATGTGTCTTTAACACACATACACTGACTGCGTACACTGTATGGGCGAAAGTGCAAATAAACCCAGTGACAGACTTAGTAATACTGGTAGCCCCTCAGAGACGTAAAGTATTTTAGTTTTGCTTTAAAAACTGTATTAATTGTAGGTTGACGAGTTCTGGCAACATTAGCTATTTTCTCAATGACCAGATCAGGATTACTCTTTGTCTTGTCATGAAGTAGTGAATCTGGTAAGTGGAGGGGGAGCATTTACAGTGCATGCATATTTCAATAAATAAACTGATATTTGGCACCAGTGCAAAAGAAAGCAATACGATATATCGCTGTATTGATATTTTATTCCACCCCTAATGCCCATAGTCAAGCAACACACTGGAATCAGTATATAAAGATCAAATAAAATTAACCAACAAGTACTTAACTAGCAGTAAAGTTAGTTAACATTAGCCTACTTAGCTAAAGCTAGACAGCTATTTAATAGCATACTAACTTACTTAGCATGTCCTGTACCCCTATAAAATAATGCAAAGGGTATTTACCCTAGGCACTTGAATGTAGAAACTTGCACTTTGTAAGTACCTGACAACCACTGCTACAATAATGCTAATTTCAGCTAGCTATGGGTTTTGCAGTTTATTGTTAGCACCAAGCTAAATCTGGTGTACATTCACTTTCTCACATTCAGTTTCATATTATATAGCTCTAGTTTATACATTGGAGCTTGTATGATATGCATTTAACATATTTTACTTTGTATGCTGTAGTTTTTCAGTCAATTTATTAGTAAATACTTAAACATGAAGCCTAACTGGGAGCACTGTTAGAGGACCCTGCTAGCCTGTTAGCTTTTCACAAACTGAAATGAAACAACTGATTCTTTTGTTGGCATAAAACATATTCAATATACCTGCAGTATTAAAAGGGCTGGTTTTACTCTTCCATTTCTTAATATGTGTAAGCAATTATATAATATTCAGAAAAAAAGGATTTTTGTTTACGATATATACATTATACTGCTGTAATAGTAGTCTATAGTTTTGTACTGCAATTACAGATACAGTACAAAACATCATTACAGTACAAGTGTTGTAAATATTAATCAGAGTAACTACCTGGCAACTCTGCTGCTAAGTTACTGTACATTTGTTACAGTGTGTATTTTAGAAACATCCCCAGAGCAGCCAACAGTTGGCAAGGGAAGCCACTGACTTCGCTCTAATAAAAATGCAGTGTTACTGAGTTGAATCATTGGCAAGAAAAGCCAAATTCTGCAGAGCAGGAGGAGCAAGTAGGAAACACTGTTTCTAGGTTTGAATAATAAGCTGTGATACACCCTCCCTGTGGCCATCGCAGTGCTGCAGAACACGGAGGCGGCTTTCAGGGTGGGAATGGACATTACCAGCAATGACACGAAGCACACATCCCTCCTTAACAAAGACAGAGTTGGAAAAGCCACTGACACAAATGTAATGAGAGCGGCCCGGGACAATGAGGGCCAACTCGTCCCGTGGGGGGACCTGGGTAAACAAGCCTCACCACACATCCGCAACGGATTACTGAGATTACAGCGCTCGTATTTTGGTCTCTGTACCATAGAGAAAGACAGATCAAGAGAGAGAGAGAGAGAGAGTGAGAGAGGGAGAAAGAGAGAGAGCGCGAGTCTATCCCCGGAAAGAATGTGTTCCAGAAAGCGCAACAAAAGCAATGCGTCTCAATTCAGCTCCTGTGCTGACACACCACACTCAGTTAGCCTTTTTTCAGATTGTAGCTTACATGTGCCGCACTTGCCCCAGGACAAAAACATCAGGACATAGCTTTTGAGTCGCTGCATCATGGGAAAAGCCAAAACCATGTGAACGAGTGTGCAGCGGAGCACGCACCGTCTAATGCTAGCTGTTCACTTTCACCTCCAGTATCAAAGACTAACCGCTGTTAAAACTCGGCCCCAACTTTTACAGCAGCTGCTGACAGCTGTGTTCCATTTTCTAGGCTTTGTAGAGAATTTGTAGCTTTTTGCACTGGCAGTCTCTGGAGCTCTCTCTCTCTCCATGTCACTGCGCTTTCACCCCGGCGAACTCAACGCAACACCGCCTCACTTTCGGGCCGTTTTCCCATGACAGCCACACACTGGTGCACTCAGGCTCTGGGAAGAGCTCCACAAGAAAACGGAACACTTTGCTTTTTTCACAGAATTAGTCTTCAATTCAACAGATGCTTCAGCTTTTCCATGTTAACAGCAAGCTTTCTTGCAGGAATGGTTCCAAAAATAATCCCATTTACACATTTACGCTTTACCACAAATGCAACAAATCAGCCAAGATATGCTTGGTGTCGAGACACAGGCTGCTACTACTGTTTTTTAGCTATGCCTACTTCTGTCAATTGTCATACAGTGCCAGAAACCAATCTATTACAGATTACTTAACAACTCAACACAGTTTGAGGCAAATGTGTGAAGATACAGTTTATGTGATACAAACAGGTGTACCCAAGCTTCTGTTACTTGTTGGCTCGTCGCTCCAGTGCAAAACCGAAGAAATCAACTTTAGACACCAAACATGACTTGGCTACGTTAAAGGTAAATTGGAGTACATGTGCAAATTTGATTTTCTGTGGAACGATTCCTTGGCAGCACTAAGAACCACAAATATTTTTCAATCAGTAACGTAATGCTCAGCATATGGAACGTGATCATCAAGTGCAGTCTTGCTAAAGCAGGCTTGGACCAGCGACAAGGAGAGTAAACCAGAGGACTTACTTTGAGTATTCTTCATTGTCTCGGTCACATCTGGCATCCTTATGCTTCTCCCAGTCCTTGCCGTGCTTGCAGGTTGTCAACAAAATCATATCTTCCCCATTATGTATATGATACAAAGCGTTCCTGGTTTCAGAGCCGATCCCTGTGAGGTACCTCTTCCCTTTGAACACCAGCAGGTATTTCCGTGCAGGTGGGATATTGTTGGATGCCAAGTGACCCTTCTCTCCACCTTTCTGGGGGTGGTCTTTAGAAAATAGGGGGATAGATACATCAAAACGTGGCCTGAAGTTTCCCACCTCCACACTGGCCTTGGCCAGCATGGCCTGGCCCACATCAAAGCCTAAATCCTCAGTATAATCGGGCCAAGTTCCAGAGTACAAGTTGAAGATCAGGTGGTTCCTGCCCTCGTTCCACAATGGAAGGCTCTGGATTCTGGCACGGACATCCTGAGCATACTGAGTGGATAGCTGGTCCCTGTCCAAGGTGTCCACGCCCAGCACGAAAAGGCACGCCTCATCAGGATCCCGGGTGTAGAAGCGGGACTCTTCGATTGCAGCCAGAACCTTCCGGTAGCTTTCGGAGATGACCTCGCCTTTCTGTGGCGGGTACATGTAGACCCGAAAGGCCCTCTGGCAGCGGCTGAAGTCGAAGCACGTCTCCATGCGGCAGCGGCGGCTCTTGTAGATGTTCTTGCGAGTTTCGCGGCGTTCGCGTGGTGATGCGTGCTGGTGCAAGACAAGGGGGCTGTCCTCCTCCTGCTCTGCCCCATCCAGGTATGGCCGCAAGGGAGGCTCCACCCACTCGGGCTGGAGCTGGGAGGGCCTGTAGAAGCGCTCTGGGTGGCTCCGGGTCTGGAGCTCGGCAACCTGCAGGGTCCACAGGTAGGCCAGCAGCAGGACGCAGGCCCCCGCAGACACCAGCAGGTAGCGCTTCTTGGCCTGCATGGGGGCTGGCAGGAGCAGCGCTGGGGCAGGAAGAAGCTGGGCAGGGGCGGAGCTCAACCCGCAACACGGTGCCTCATAGCAGCGCTATAGCATACTGTCGGAAAATAGGACACTGCGAGTAGAGGTATAGACGCACACACAGGCATATGCACACACACGCACCAAACTCATATGCATGCACACCAATATAAAGATACACACAAATATACACAGTTTAGCTTAGAACAAAAGAAAGTTGGTTAACTGCAAAATTATTAGTCTTCAAATTCATTTGCATTGATTAAACTGTGTTCAAGAGAAATGAAATTTATGAGTCTCTTCAAAAATGTAAAGAAATCAGTTTTTATGGGAAATAAAAAAAGCCTAATAAATAACTTAACAAACAAATAGTGTATATAATAAGCTTATAAAGATACATTCATCTACATTTTGTAGCTGAGACATCATGCATGCTTTGTCACTGATATCATTACAAGGAGATGAAAAGTGCACACATATAGGCTAAAGCAGTGGTTCCTCGCTCTGGTACTGGTGTTCCCCTGTATATTTTGGTGTTTTTCCTGCTCTAACACACTTGGTTCTTGTCATCTAATTAACGACCAGGTTTAATGGATGTGCTAGAGAAGGGCAATCCGCAAACTATGGTCCCCCATGACCAAAGAGGGGCTCCCTTGGCTCAAGCACTGGTTCTTATAGTCCTGCTCGTGGAGTACCACCTGCGGTGCGCTTTTTCCTGCTCTACCACAGCTGATTTAACTCATCACCACATTTCCAAGGCATCCACAAGGTTAAAATCAGGTGTATTAGAGCAGAGGGACAACTAAAGGAAGGGTATATCAGTTAGAGAGGCAAGCGTTGCCCAGACTTTACTGTTGGTGACATCAGGCTGAAGTTATCTAGCTTTACTGAGAAATCCTGCTTTGTCAAATACTTTCCAAGGACGTACTTGACTAAGCAGGACTTGGTTAGCCAGACAAGTTTGTCTGCAAGCCAAGGCAGCCCAATAGGAGGAGATAAGGATTTACCTTTTAGACAGTTCTAACTTTTGGGCTTTAGTTATCCCGCAGCTTTGAGACAGAAGATCTATCAACACTGGCATAACACACGCACTCCATTGAAACAGCTTATAAGGTATAGTTACCTGCAGGGGGCGTCTATGCGTGCACGGGCAACTTCAGCCTTCAGTGAACTTCAGCGCTGATCATGCACGCATGCATTTTCTCCGAGAAGCAAAGTTTGTCAGTCCAGAAAAAAAAGACCCAGATTTGTTCAAAAGCAGAGCTCCTCGTGACCTGGACGTCCACGTGGTCCTTATTAGGTTGTAAAAGAATCCACAGTGAGCTCCATCACTCCATCACTCCACTCCTGCTTCACCTCCCAGAGAGTCTGTATGGCTTTTATAACCCCTTTACTGAATGTTGGGTCAGTAAGTCCTGCACAGTCCAGCTTCAGCGTCTCTGACTAACGGGCTCGTTTGCATCAGCCCGCATACGAGTCTTGGACGCTTAATGCACCGAATCCGGGACTCCTGGAAACCACCACAAGTTAGAACAGTCTCACGTGGAGAAAGCGCGAGCTGGCCGGTGCCTCCTGCACCGTGACTGACCGAAGCTCGCAGACGGTCGTCCGCGCGACATCTCCACTCCTTTGCACGCCACGGGGGCAAAAAAAAGTTTAAGAGAAGAATCCGGTGCTCCCAGCGCGAGAGCCACGCAGGGAAACTTCGTTCCCGGTGCTCCTCCTCTTCATCATCATCATCATCATCATCATCATCTTAATGATCATCATGATCTGTGATCTTCATCTTCATTTATCCTCCTCATCTTCTCCCTCCTTCCGGACACCCGTGAGTCCACTCGCCGCCTCGTATCAACATCATCTGTGCGGTCATCTCCGTTCAAACCGTTTATTTGTTTGTTTGTTTATTTATTTATTTATTTATTTTTTACTACTTAACAAGTCAACAGTGCTGGCACGTGCACATTTTTTCTTTTACTTTTCATATTTTATCCACCTCCTCTCTACGATCTGATATCCATCCAGCAAGTGCTGACCATTTAAAAAATGATGACGTAAACTCATTCCCCACGTCGCGAGCCAAGCCAGCGAGAGCTTCCCCTTCTCCGTTTGGCTCCTCATCCAGCTGCAGGTGTGGATGGAGCCCGAATCCGTTCACTCTCACTCACTCCGCGCGCACAGCTCCAGCGGCGCGCTCCGCCCCCCTCCCTCCCTCTGCGCGCTCTGATTGGCGGAGAGAGCGCCCACGAGCGAGGGAAACGCAGGACCGTCATCCCGAGGATGGGATGAAGGCGGAGGGAAGGAAAAGCATGGTGCAGCAGCGTTGTTTGCTTTTTTTTAAATCTACCCGTTTTCAAGCAAGCCCCGCCCCTCCTGCGCTTCGATTGGCTAGTAGTTCATACTCACGAGCGCTCCCGCTGTTCTACACCTTAACAAAAAGATGATTCTTTAAGGGATTCTTTTGTAAAGACATTGATTCTGCATAGAACCATGGAGACTGGAACCATTTTCATGCTTAGATGGGTCATGCATCGTGAAAGGGTTCTTCAGATTGATGGAGAATTTGTTGTAGATGGTTCTATATAGCAACAAAAAGGGTTCTTCTATTGTTGCAAGCTTGATAACATAACAATAGAACCATTTATGGTGCTAATGTCAAAAAGAATCCATATAGAATCATACGCAACACATTTTCCATCAATCCGAAGAACCATTTCACTATGCAAAGAACCACCAGCATGAAATGGTTCTACATAGAACCCATGGTTCTAATAGAACCACTCATTACTAAAGCACTCTTGAAGAACCATCGTTTTAAGTGTACTGAAAATGGTTCTTTGACTAATAATGATAGTAGTGCAATATAAACCCATTTTTAAATGGTTCTTTAAAGAACCACACACAATTGATTTTCCATCATCAAGAAGAACCATTTGACTATGCAAAGAACTCACATGGTTCTTCAAGTGTTCATGGTTCTATACAGAACCATTTTCTTTACTAAAAAACCTTGAAGAACCAGTTTTATATTGTAGAATGTGAAAGCTCTGCTTTCCTGGCATGGTTCTAGAGTGCCAAGATATATATAGAATATATAGAACCTCAATTATGTCCCCGCCCCGTGCTATGACTGGCTAGCTTTGAGCGCTCCTCATTCCAGAACACGCCTTCCTATATTATGACGGGCTCACAAGCAATCCAGCATTGAGCGTATATATACAGAAAATTGTTCTATGTAGAACCATGAACACTCAAAGAACCCTTTGTTAAATGGTTCTTTGCATCTTGAAAGTGCTTTTTAGGCTGATGGAGAACCTGTTGTATATGGTCCTTTTTGAAAATGGTTCTATATAGCACCAAAAGGGATTCTTCTATTGTTACGATGTCAAGCTTATAACATAGAAGAACCCTTTTTGGTACTATATAGAACCCTTTTCAAAACGTTCTATATAGAACCATCCAAAGCACATTCTCCATTAATCTGAGGAACCCTTTCATGATGCAAAGACCCCTTTAATCATGCAAAGGGCTTTTTGAGTGTTCAATCTACATAGAACCATTTTCTTTACTAAAGAACTCTATGTAACACACTTCTTTAGGAAGTATGTGGAAGAAACAAAGAAGATGCATATCGAAATATTCTTATTTTGAAAAGTATGGCAAAACTTAAACACATTTCATACATATGGATATGAATATAATCTTATACACAAGTTTGGACAACCAAGAATCTTATATTATATAACATGATACTAGTATATATGAGTAATATATCATTCATGTAGGAATAATGTTTTTTCGCTGAGCACTTTAAAAGGAACACCTCTTTGTATTTACACACCATGTCCACTCTGCTAGACACATCCACCTTGTTGGTCCACCTTGTAGATGTAAAGTCAGAGAGAGTAGCTCATCGGTTGCTGCACAGTTTGTGTTGGTCATCCTCTAGTCCTTCGTCAGTGCTCACAGGACACTGTTCGCTAGATATTTTTGGTTGGTGGACTATTCTCAGTCCAGCAGTGACACTGAGGTGTTTAAAAGCTCCAGCAGCACTGCTGTGTCTGATCCACTCAGACCAGCACAACACACACTAACACACCACCATCACGTCAGTGTTACTGCCGTGCTGAGAATGATCCACCACCCAAATAATACCTGCTCTGTGAGGGTCCATGGGGGTCCTGACCACTGAAGAAGGGGTGAACACAGTACGCAGAGAAACAGATGGACTACAGTCTGTAATTGTAGAACCACAAAGTGCTCCTATTTGGTAAGTGGAGCTGATAAAATAGACAATGAGTGTATAAAAAAGGAAGTGTTCCTAATAAAGTGCTCAGTGAGTGTATGTGTCCCATATTTGAAAATGGCCCATATGTCCATGAGTGACAAATATATGTTGTATATATGGGAAATCCATATACGCTAATACGTCATAGATTTGAAATCCATATGTTGCCATATATCAGATTTCTATATGGGTTCCCAGAAGCCCCGCCTCTACAACCGGCTACTTATAATGTGTTCTAGAACAGTGGATTGCTTGTGAGTGTAAACTACTAGCCAATCTCAGCATAGAAGGACGGGGCTTGTGGGTAAATGGATGGAGAAAAAAAATAACCTCCTGCACAGAATTAAAAGTTTTAAGGCACTGACCAAAATATATTAATGAAGTTTTTTCCATAAAAGCCCCAGGAACTGGGAATTGGTTTGTATTAGGAAGGCCTCTTTGTTTCTTCCTTCCTTCCTTCCTTCCTTCCTTTCTTTCTTTCTTTCTTAAGCCAAGAAAACTAATTACACTGAAATCTCACAGCTTGTTATTCATGCCTGTATAGTTCTCTTCATAACTCTCCTCATTAATGTGTGCATTTCCAAACTTGACATGCACTTAATTGCAAAATGACCCAGAGACAAAAGCCAGACTGTTCTTGTGCTGTTGTTTTGTCTGGTTTCATCACTGTTGCCTTATTAGAATGAGTTGTTGC